AAAAAAAAAAAAAAAAAAAAAATGATCTGTTTTTTTCCTCTCATGTCGCAGTTCTTTTCTTTTATCTTTTCCCCTTCATCGTCTTCAATCTTCACTCGTTTCCTTATACCACAACACTAGAACATCTTATAGTCCATTTGCCCCGTTTTTGTGGGCCCACACATGTCATCCTCCATTGCATTACTGGGCCTTCCCCGAACCCCGAAAATTGCGTCGCATGTATGGGTCAAGTATTGGTGGTTTAAACCACCACTACCTCCGAGCCTGTTTTTTGCGACCTTAAATTTCACTGCACACTGAGTTTTGTCGAGCCTTTGGTCTCATTATATTCTCTTTTCTGGTACCTGTCGGAAAAAAAAAAAAAAAAAAAAAAAAAAAAAAAAAAAAAAAAAAAAAAAAAAAAAAAAAAAAAAGTGTACAAAACATTGGATACATGTGAGAGTCTGCCAAATGACATTTCCTTCCTCAGCAAAACACGGAAATGGGAAAAACAACAAAAAATGAAAAAAATACAATTTTTATGCTGACGATTTCAACATGTGAGGGTTTTTATTACTATGAGGTATGTGTGAGGGGAAAAAAAAATGCAATTCCGTCTTGAAAAGTGTGGGGATTTAAGCATGTAAGGATTTTTATTACTATGAATAATATTATGTCTCGTATTTAAATAAAAAGTGTGCATGCTTATATAAAAATATATTTTTAATAATAATGATTGTGACACCTACAAATACATTTTTTATTACTATGAATTAGTATGAATCATATTATGTTTCGTATTTAAATAAAAAGTGTGCATGTTTATATGAAATATTTTTTTATAATAATGAGTCTGACATCAACAAGACAAAATGTGTGGTATATACTTATCAAACACACATACTTCAACGCACATTGGTCGATTAACACATAATAATTAAAAAAAAAAAAATTGAGCAGACACACAAAAAGACAATAAAAATTTAGATTGTCACCATAACTTTGACTACATTTACTGAACAGTTCACATGCATAATAAGATTGCAAACTTCACAAATTGTACAATTATTACAAAAGATTTGTTAATGTTCATTATAACCTTAAGTATATATGATGATAAAACGTATTTTGACCAATAAGCAAACGTTTTACATTAATTTTACATCATGAAAATATCTTCATACCATTTTTTTTTAGATAGGCGTAATAGTGATAAATGTATACGTAATCAGACTTCAAATTCCTCCATATCAAAAACCCTATAATTTTTTTTTTTACATCATCATAAAGTAGGTAAAAATGTATTGGTAATTATTTTTAAACATTAAATATGCTTGCAATCATACTTTTACTTAAAACATATTTTATTATTAAACATTGTTTAAGCATATGATTTTTTTTTTTACTATGAATAACATTATGTTCCGTATTTAAATAAAAACTGTGCATGCTTATATGAAAATATTTTTTAAGAATAATGAGTGTGACACCTACAATAATTTTTTTTATTAATATGAATAATATTATATTTCGCATTTGAATAAAAAGTGTGCATGTTTATATGAAAATATATTTTAATAATAATAGGTGTGACACCTACAAGAGGAATTGTGTGCTATATTTTTCTCAACATAATAATATTGGTTGTTATATTCCAAATAATATTTTAAATATATACAAATATTATATTTAGTTTTTTGCATGTTTAAGTTATGTTAATAGTTATATATAGAAGCCCAATTTATGATTAATGTATTTACTCAACGTTTTATGTTAATATTTATCTTATCACAAAATTAAATGGGCTACGACATAGGGTCTATACGTCATCTTGTTTACTCAAGTGATTAGGTTGTGCAAGGATAAAAAAATGTTCACATCTAGATGTGTATAAGAGACAGAGCCATCAAAGCTTGACAGAATTTCATCGAAATC